GGGGAGGGACCCCGAGATCTGAGAAGACCCTTTAGGGTCGGGAGCCCAGAGGAGGGGCTCCGGTGAGGGCGGCTCTGGGAGGGCTGCTGTGAGGAAGGGCCTGCCGAGCGGGGTGGTCAGAGCCGGGGCTCTGGAAGGAAGAAGGCTGCAGACTCGGGGAGCTCTTGGGCTCAGGATGGGGGGTGTGTCCGGTAGGGAGACTCTTACCCTTGGGAGTAGATGCCAAAGGACGAGGGGTTCGGGGAGCTCCCGGGACCCGCCTTGGGGGCGGGGCCGCGAGGGGGACGCTCTGTGCTGCTGGGCCGGGGGGAGTGTGGCCTCCGGGAGGGAGCTTTCAGAAGTAAGGCGCCTTGGGTGATGGCGGCCAGACCCCGCAATCCTGGGGTTCTCGGGGTGCCCCGAGGAGGGCGGCTGGGCTGTGCTAGAGGGTGGTCCGCAGGTTCTGAGCGGCCTGCGCCTCGCCGCCCCCTCGCAGATGACGCTCTACCTCACCTTCCCCGTGGCCATGTTCTGGATTGCCAACCAGGCCGAGTGGTTCGAAGGCTCCGTCATACAGCGGAAGGTGGGCGCCGGGAGTGCTCGTGGGGGGGTGTACGGGGCTGGGAGCGCAGGGGCGCCGGTGTCTGCCGGCCGGGAGCTCACCTGCCCTAGGCGTGGGCTCGGGAGGCTCCTGGCTCACCTGTGGCTTTACCCCCGCAGAGGGAGCTGTGGCCGCCTGAGAAGGAGGACCAGGTACGCGACACCCTCTTCCCCCCAGGGGGACAGGGGGCCTGGCTCCCCGCGACCGGGATGGGTCGGGAGCAGCGAGCGGAGCAGAGGACCACGTGGTTCCCTTGCCGTCCTCTCCCCACGCGGCGAAGCGGACCCACTTGGACCTGCGTGTGACTGGCCCAGGGCTTCCCGTGCGGACACTGAAGCCTAAAGCTGGGGGGCGGGCGGCGGGGCGGGAGGGCAGGGGGCACCAATGCCTGCTTCCCATGAGCTGACCTGTCATATGTCCCATCTTGCTCACCGTTAGCGCCAAGAACTAGAAGAATTCAAAGCGAGGATACGGAAGCAGCGGGAGGAGAAGCTCCTTCGCGCTGCCCAGCAGAGCGCCTGAAACCCCCAAGTGCCCGCGTGCCACCCCTGAAACAACACACACTCAGTTCTTTCTCCTGCAAGTGTTTTATTGTCTGCTTTGGGGGGCACGAGTGGGGTGCAAGATGGCTCAGGCCCTCACGGGGCTTGTGTCTGGGGCTGGGGGCTGCTGTTCCGCCGGAAGCTGAGAGCAGAGGGGTCCGGAGGGGTGAGGAGGGGTTGGGGGCTCAGGGTCCCCGCTCGTTTCTGCGCTCCATCCTGTGGGGGAAGAGGGGTCAACCAGAGGGAGAGGCCAAGGGCCGCGCTGGCCCCAGGCGATGCAAGCATTGGAAGGAGGTGCAGGTGGGAACCGTGTTGCATCGCCCGCCGTCTGACCCCACCATCCTGGAGCTTCTACGTACCTTCGTTGCTCAACAGTTAGGGTGCAGTTTGGGTGTGAGGTGTGGGACCTTGGGGATCCCACTGGGGTCTTGATCAGAACCCAGGATGTGTATGATTACACGTGACAGACACCCATGAGTGTATGAGCTCGTGTGCCCTCCTCCCTGAGGGTGTCTTCCCCGTAGAGGGGTTTGCTCTGTCCCCTCCCTGCCACCCTCCGCCATAGCTCTGGCTTAATGTGCCCTCTGCGTGACCTTGTGGCCCTCTGGCCTTGTCTGGGCCTTCGTTCTCCCGTCTAAAGTCAGGTATTGGATTGGCCAGGGCCTTGGGACAGGCAAGGACACAGGCAGGCACTCCTACCAGGCACTCATCTCCAAGGAGCACATGATAGACCGGTGGGGGTGGGGCCCCATTCACTCCGAACTGGGGGTGAGAGGCAGCATTGGGGTGCTCAGCATGGCTGGTCTCCCTCAGCCCCAGCAGAATATCACCTACCTTGGGGCCCACAGGCTGGAAACCAGGCAGGGCGCTGACAGTCACACGCTGGTCATCCATGCGGCGACCCTGGGTGCTGGCCAGCATGTCCATGAGACTGTCCATCTCCGGCATGGGGCCACTCTCTGCAGAGAGCACAAGCAGGTGAAGGTGGACACATACACAGATGCCAGGGAACACGGCCAGCGGGACCCTCAGCCCCCTCCCTCCCTCTCCTGTTCTCCCCCGCCGCGCCTTGCCCCTAGACCCACAGCACCTGTGTCCCCAGCTGCCCCTCCCTCTCAGACAGACTTGCCTAGATGGTAACTTGTCCTGTACCGCCCTACCCCGTTTACTCCTCCAGGCAGCACACCCTCCCTCCACCCACTGCCCACTCTCACGGCTCTTGGAGGTGGTGCCTGGCTCTGCCTGCAGCGAGCAGCGCTGCTCCTCCATTCGGTCGCCCTGCACATGGGTCAGCAGGTTGAAGAAGCCTTCTTGGTCTGGAGAGCCCGCCTGGGAGACAGACACATCTGGTCCAGCTGGCCCCTCAGTTGGGGGAGCCCTCACTAGCTCCCACCTTGGCCCCGGCATCCGCCCTCCCCTCCGTGGCTCTCACCATGGTCCCCGCTGATGCGCTGCTCTGCAGAGCTGCTGTGAATGAGACCAGAGCCTCCTTCACAATCCCAGCCCGCAGGGTCCGGCCATCAGTGCCTCTGCACGTGGTGCTGCCTCAAGGGAGAAGCGTCTGCCATTCCAGATTGGGGCCTGACTATGGACACCAGCCAGGAAAACACCCCGGGGGCCGCCCAAAAATCCCAGCACCCCCCTCCCCGCAGCTCACTGGCCATCACTGAGCACTGCCCTGCCCTGGGGCTGTGGTAGGCACGTGGACCCTCATGCCCACCAGTATGTCCTTGGGCAGCAAACTGGGTCAGGGATCCCAAGAGACTCAATCACTAATTAGATGCCCTACAAACTAGTTTTTGTCATTCACTGCTCTTGAGGAATTGTGGGGGGGGGGGACCTGCTTACCTTGACACAGGGCACTGAACCCCCATCCACCTCTTCCCCGTCCATCTTTGCTCCTGCTTCCTGGACCCCGTCTGTTCTCTGCTGGCCTCTGGCCCAGCCCAAATCCCTAGCTCACACACATCTGCTCCCACCCAAGCTTAAGCCCCATAAAGATGATCCAGATAATGGTTTTCGCTGCGCACTGCTGGGGTTGCTGTGGGGCAGGACGCCGGGTGACCTGGGTTGGAACCTGGCAGGACTCCCTGTTCTCCAGAACTCTCAGGTGGGACACCGCAGGCCAGAGCAGAGCCCCCACATTGGGTCGTGGGGGCTGGCTGGGCCCCATTGGGGAAGAACAGGGGTCTGCAGCCCAGCAGCAGGAAGCAGTATGGTGGTCTCACCGGCCGGGAGGCAGTTGCCATCTGCAGGCGGCAGGGTAAGTCGGGCCTCAAGGCCCCTGAGGCACTCCCTGCCAGCCTAGCTCTGTCTCCTGGCAACCGCTGCCCCCACTCACTGTCCCTGGGTCTGGTTGCCTCCCATAGGCCCCCAAGGCGAGGCTTGGGATCTCCTGTCTGATTTGTGCCCCCAGCCCTGCCTGGGGAGGGAGACAAGTAGGAAAGCCCTGCCCCTGCTGCCTACCTCCTCCCACCCCACAGCTATGGCTTCCTCTCTGTGGCCTGGGAGGGGATGCCCCTAGGAGGCTCCCATCCACACCCCACTCCCTCCTCACTATGCCTTTCTAGAAACTAGTGAAAGTTCCTTCCTGGAATAAATGGCCACATTGTCACCACCCCTGCCTGAGGGCCAAGCTTGGTCCCCTTCCGCAGGCAGCCCTGCCCTTATTCAGGGTCACCACTCTCCACGCCTCAGTCCTCGATGCCAGCGTGATGTGCTTCTCCGCGGCGGACGAGTTCCTCTCCTGGGGCTGCCCTGTCACAACGGGCAGCTTAGAACACAGACATTATGGGCACACAGTTCTGGAGGCCAGCGTTGGAACCGTGTGGGAGGGCGCGCTCCTGAAGCTTGTGCGGGGGACCCTTCCTCGCCTCGCCCTGCTCCTAATGGCTGCCGCAGGCCTTGGTGGTCCCTGGACGGTAGCCACAGTGCCACATTCGCAGCCTCTCGTCGCATGATGCTCCATGTGTCCTTGTCTTCACCTGGACCCCAGTCATTGCATTAGGGACCCATCCGACTGCAGTATAACCTCATTTTAACTCACCTGCGATGACCCTATTTCCAAATACGGTCATATTCTGAGGTCCTGGGGTTAGGATTTCTTTTTTTCTTTTTGTTGATTTCAGAGAGGAAGGGAGAGGGAGAGAGAGAAACATCAATGATGAGAGAGAACCATTGACTGGCTGCCTCCTGCACGCCCCACACAAGGGATTGAGCCTGCAACCCAGATATGTGCCCTGACCAGGAATTGAACCGGCGACCTCTTGGTTCAAAGGTGGATACTCAACCTCTGAGCCACATCGGCCGGGCTCAACATACCTTTTTTAGGGATGAAGGGGACAGGAGCCCATTCAGCCTGTAACAGCTGAAAAGCCTGGTCACCCTCACAGAGTGTAGAGTGGGTGGGAGGCCCCTGTCCTAGGGGACAGGCTATGATGCTAGAGGTGATCCCAGCTTCCTCGTGGTCTCCCAGCGCCCGCCCCCCTTGGTCCCTGCAGTTTGTCCTCCCGCCTTAGAAGCTGTAGGGGTCCCCCCTTCCCCTGCTCAGAACTCTCCCTTGGTTGTCACTGTCCTCAGGAGAAAACCCAAACACCTTGGAGCCATGGAAATACTGTATTCTAGAACGGACTGGTGATGGCTGCGCAGCTCTGAGTATGCTGAAAGCTGTTTAACAGTATTAATATGTGATATAACTCAACAGAACTTTTTAAAAATATATTTTATTGATTTTCCACAGAGAGGGAGAGGGAGAGAGAGAAACATCCATGAGAGAGAAACATGGATCAGCTGCCTCCTGCACACTCCCCACTGAGGATGTGCCCACAACTGAGGTACATGCCTTTGACCGGAATGGAACCTGGGACCCTTGAGTCCGCAGGCCGACGCTCTATCCACTGAGCCAAACCGTTAGGGCTCAACAGAACTGTTAAAGAAAAGGAAAGGAGAGCATGGGCGGGAGGGAGGAATGGAGGGAAGGGCAGGGGAAGGGAGGAAGGAATGAAAGAACGAAGAAAGGAAGGAAAAGAAAGCAGGTGGGAAAAGAACCCAAGTCTGTCTGGAGTGGCCAGCCCAGGTTTGCCTGGAACTGCTCCAGGGTATCAGGGTCCTGCACCCCAGGAACCTCTCAGTCCCAGGCAGATGGGCTGGCTCAGGCCGACTCTGTCCTGGGGAAAGCTGGCCTGTGCAGCCCCTCCAGCTCACCTCTTGGCTGGCCTTCCCCACCATCTCCTCTTCGCTGCCTGGATCCCTGCATGGCTGCTGCTTGGTGTCATCCCGGTTAAGTCTAAAGGCCACCCCCTCAGAGGGTTCCTCTGGTTGCGACTCAGTGAAAGGACCTCATTTCCACGCGCAACAGTTCCACGGCCGGTAAAGAACCCCTCCCCCACACGGCATTGCTACTATATCTCTGTTTGTTTCCTTCGGGGCAGAATTATTTTCTCTCCCCTCCCTCCAGAACTCCACGCCAAGTCCCACATGGCAGACCTTTTGTTGTCTGCCCTGTGCCTGCCCCATGCAAATGGCAATACACTAAGTGGAGGAGCCGTTCAGGGCTCTGCCTTCACGCACGGGCCTCACACTTTAAAGCCGAGACGCCATCCATGCGGGTCTGGCCCAGCGCCAGCCTTTCACACAGCAGGGCCGGCCTGAAATTCCGAGTCAAGTGTGAACTGAGGTGTGTGTGAGCGTGCCACCCGCCCACGTGTCTATCAGCCTGGAATGTGACTGTCACCCATGACGGGTGTGTGCAACCAGCGCACCAGGCTGTGCGGAGCACCTCGGGGACGGCGCCCCCGTTGGTTCCGCCCTCACCTGAGGACGTTTGTGCTGATGGGAGGGAGGGAGCGGGGCACGTCGCAAGTGGGGAGGGGGCCCGGCAGCGCCGCAGCTGTTTGGGCACATCCTCCACCTTCCTCCCCAGCCGGGCGGGGCGGGGA